AATCACCCAGCATTTGTCTGCTTAGGAACATGGAATTTTTAGGTCATTGAGGACTTTTCCTGCAATTGTAGGTAGGCTAGTACATACCACCTTAGATAAATGCTTTCCCCTCTATTTGTAAAGTTTTTATGTCCCTCTTCATCAAGGGTTGGACTTGATGATCTCGGAGGTCTTTTCCAACCCAGTTGATTCTATGATTCTGTGATTGATTCTATGATTCATTCCGATGGAAGGCTGCTGCTGACTTTTCCAGTTTTAATGCTTAGAACTTTTTTTCACCAAATTTGGTAACACAGTATATATATACTTGGTTTTGTGCTAGAAATTAAGAATAAAGACCAAGATATTGAGAAACATCTCCTGCCATAAGAAATAGTGACACCTGAACAGGGGCCACTCCTAAAAAAACAATCAACTTAAGAGTCTGTTACAAAAAAACAGGAGACATTTTATATATTTTCTGATACATTATTGGGTGAGGGTAGAAAATCTCCTCCACTGTGTGGCCAGAGTTGCATAGTCAAATTTGCACAAGAGATGAATCCATTCTTGCTTTAAATTTACAGAAATAATGTAATTTCTGTGCCTTAGTAGTTCTTAGAAACTCTCCCCTACTCCTCAGTGTTTCAGTGTGCAAAAGTCACAAGGGCTACATTTCATTTTTTGCTGAAATAAACATATTTTGTCCCTTTAGGAATCACTTGATGGGAAACTTGAGTTATCATACGTGCCTGCACAAAGAGTGCTGTGTATCACTAAATAAAAATTACATCGTTTAACATATATTTCCTTATTATCTTCAGTATACATTTCTGGAACTTGTTTCCATTGGGAAAAGACTTTTAAAAGAAGATAGGTGAATGGTTTTACCTGCCCTAAAATAAAAATTCATGTTTTAAAGTCAATGAATGAAATAAAAAATCTTGTGCTTCATTCAAAATTTGTCAACAAAATGAACAAAAGCCTTAATTTGATTTTAGTGTGGCAGCTTGGCTTTCCTCCTTTACTTCCACCACTTTATGCAGAAGTGGGAGGTAGAGCAGAAAGCAGAGGAGCGTTAATGACGCAAAACAGAAATCAACAAATGTCGTTTGATTTGAAATGGTCATTTCCACTACTGTGGAAAAAAAACCCCAAGATTGTGATGATAACCATTTTAAAGGGTCACTTTCAGTTACTCATGTGCTGAGCCTCGGGTTGCCCATCAATAACAGAATGAATAGTTAATATGGACCGTTTTCTTAATGTGGGAGAGAGCATTTCCATGTCGATCTGCCGCTTCAATTTTCCTAAAAACTGCCTTTCTCCAAGACTTGTAGTTGATGCTGGTGACAGAGTACCTCTGTTAGTCCTAGGGAACAGCCCAGCTGTGGCACTACACAGACCCCAGAGCAGAGGACTGAGCCCAGTGACCAGCCCATGAACCTTCAGATGTCACCAGTGAGTCTGCGTGGGAGGGAGTGTCACTTCCTTCCTTGTATCTCCTGCTGCCCCCTGTCCCCTTGACTTGTGGTCAAATTGAGATACAATTAGTCTGGAGGTGTGGCTATCAAATGTGAAACTATATTTAACAGGTCTCATTGCTTCATAGGTTCTTTCTCAGCGTTCACTAATTAATCTTCCTTGCCCTGAATGTCTTGGATTATCTCTGTGTTGCAGTCAGTGGGTCTGAAGCTCAAGGTTAAATGTCTTGCTCTCAGCCCAGAGCAGAGATAGTAGCTGTCAAGAAACTTCTTAATGAGAAAGTTCATCTCCTGTTTTTCGCAGTTCAACTGTGGCCCTAACATTTAGAGGAACGCAATTTTTGGCAGCCTGGCCTAGAAAACTGGGAACAGCCCAGGGGTGGGGAACATCCTTGTCCTGTCCCTGCTCTAATGGACCTTTGCTGCTTGGTCTTGCTCAACCATCTTGCCAGAGTTTTGGTTTTTTGGAGACATTCTGACACCACAAATTTCTAATGGTGTGTGAAGGTTTTCAACCCTTGCTTTCCATTTAGTGTAAGGTCCTGAGGAAGTTGCCTCAAGTTTCTCTAGGAGAGGTTTAGGTTGGATATTAGAAAAAATTTCTTCATGGACAGGGTTGTCAAACATTGGGACAGGCTCCCCAGGGAAGTGGTGAAGTCACTGTCCCAGCAGGTGTTTCAAAGGTATATGGATGGGGCACTTGAGGACGTGGTTTAATGGTGAACGTGGTGGTGCCGGGTTAAGGCTTGGACTCGATGATCTTAAAGGTCTTTTCCAACATTAATGGTTCTGTAATTCCCTGCTTAACCTGTCATTATTGTAGGTGAGATGTGTTAAGGACATGAGTGAGGCAAGTTTGATGGAAGATTTGTTCTAACATACCAACAGCTAGAGAAAAACAGGGAAGATACAGGCCCATGCCTCTCAGCAAGGCTTTGAGATACTGGAAGTGAAAGACCTTCCATTGGGCTTAGCCCAGGAGCTGATTCTCAGACAGCCAAATTAGATAATGAGACTATTGCAGTTGGTGCATTTTAAATATCAAAAAATGTTCTTTCTTCAGAAGCTCTCAGACTGTTAAGTTACTTCATAACATTTATTCAAAACCATGTTTAAAACCCCTGTCATGTAAATTGTCTGCTGAAGAGCTCTTACACTACTCCCCACAGATAAGACTTAGACTTGTACCATAGTAGTTGCTCTTATCACCTCTCAGCATATGTGCTTCTTGTGAGTATATCTGGAACCAGAATAGAAATTGTAAGAAATTCCTGGTGTTATTTGCTTCATGCCCGGACTAACACCTAAAAAGTAGCACAATGCAGCACATTCCGAAAACATATGCTAGTACCATGAAGGAAACAACTGTCAAGACATCAGTATGAAAAATAAATTTGTGAAAATACACTCAAAGAATGGAGAAAAATTTCATTTGAAATGCTGTATCTCAGTGAATGTCATATTGCTTTTACCTCATCTGTGTTTTATAAACCCACATTCAGCAGCATCTCAGCATTTCCAGGGACATGAACAACTAAGTGACCCAAGCACTCCTTGATGCCTGTGCTAAGAAAAAGGAACATCCAGGTAGCATTTCATCTCACCTGCTATTTGTTCTATTCCACATTGATAGGGAAGTAGAATCTTTTGAAATCCCCTATAGAAGTATAAAAGTTGTGCCTGGATATCCAGCAGTAACCGAGCTGAGTGGCTGGTGCTCCAGGGAGGCACTTCAGGTTGCAGAAGATCTCTTCCAGTTCCTGCTGTTTCCATGCTCAAACACCATAGCCAGATATCCAGAGCACAAAAGCTGGATCTTTGGGGAGGCAACTCTCTCAGAAATCTCTAATAATAAAATAATTCCTTGTCAAATATTCATCAGCCCAGAGAGAGAAGGAGGAAAGAGGAAATGTGTGCGTGGAAGGAGTTTTAACATCCATCTCTTTGGTTTTAAGCAAAAAATAAGTCTTGGAAAATAACCCAGAAAACACCTGGAAGTTTTTCCAAAATTGTGTATACTCCTGTAAGAGAGTTGAGATATCATAGAATAGTGTTTTCTGAGGAAACCATAAGTTTCTTAGGAAATTTCCACACAGCTTTGGTTTGAATTACACTTTCCACAAATGACAGAATCACAGAATGGTTTGGGTTCGAAACCAAAGATCATGTTGTTCCAAGACCAGGGTGCTGCAAGTTCCATCCAACCTGGCCTTGAACACTTCCAGGGGTGGGGTACCCTCAGCTTCTCTGGGGAAACCTGTTCCAGGGCCTCACCACCCTCACAGTCCAGAATATTTTCCTATTATCTAATATAACCCTGCCCTCTGTCAGTGTGAAACCATTCCCCCTTGTCCTGTCACTCCATGTCCTTGTGCAAAGTCCCTCTCCAGCTTTCTTGGAGCCCTGCATTGTGGCACAGTCTTGATGGTGAAACTGTGCTTCAGGCAGGCAGAAAATCAAGCCTACCAGAATTAGTCATTGATATCCTGGAAACCTTAATTTGATGCTATCAATTGCTTTAATATGATAGTAATCTGACCAACAGAGACAGGGTGAGACAATAGAGGGGAAGAAACAACTCCCAAACTGTTTCTATATATAGTGATTATTTATTCAGTATTAACTAAGAAATTCTGTGCAAGCAAGTGTTAAAATCAGGCCATGGTAGGCCCAGAAATTTAATATCTAAAGGAAGGAGAAATCCTTTATACACGTAGCAAAATGAAAAAGCAAAGCAGATTAATGTCTGGGTATGGCTCACCCTCTTGTGTCTTGAACCAGAATTGCAGTCCTAGGGAGAAAATTATTTTTACTGGTCTAAAATAGGAAGGGAAGGTGGCAAGTAGGATCTGCCCTTCTCAGGGCTGGTATATGTGACTGAAGAGCTGTGGGAGACCAGCAGCAATCTTGAGGAGCAGTTGGAGGGTCTGTGGGGCATCCTAGTGCACCCTGAATGGCACCAGGATGTATCATTTTGGAAAAGTGTAAGGAAAAAGATTAGTAGGAAGGCACCGTTTATGACCTGCACAAACAGATATATCAGAATCTTTGTATTTAGGTCACAAAATAAAAGTTGTCAGATTCAATGTGTGTCTCCTATTTTGCCTGTACGAAAATTACATCTCTCTTTGCTTTGTATTTCTCTTCCTGTCTCATCCACAGTCACATGAAGTGTAAAAGAGCCTCAAAATATCCAGCAAGAATTTTCCAAATTAAAAAAACCCCTTGATTTACAAATAACTTTGATTAAAAGCTCTGTTTGTGAACCAGTGGTAAATCATGTGTTTATTTAGCAGGAATATGTTCCATTGGCAATCAACAAAAAGGTAACAGAAGAAAGTTTCGTGGCATTTAATATATTATGCAAAAAAGCCCCTGAAGTGTCTTAAAAGTGTTTTTCCCATTAAAAGGAAATTAATCAGTGGCAGATCCACTGTAAGGAAAGCCACAAAATAACACATTAGTAGCTTAAGCATAATTTTTACAAAGCCTAAAATATCATCAGAACTTATTTTGGGGTGCTAGTCTAATTTAGAACTAAAGTAATAGTCAGATTCCAAATAAAATTGTTACCTATAGGTCAATCTGAGCAGATACACTGAGGGTGAATACACTTCACAGTGAGTTCTACGCTTTTCTTATGAGTCTCACAGCAGCTGTAACAACATCCACCAGGACTTTATATGATCTGAGTGGTGCATTTGCAGGTTGCAGGACACTTCTGCTTCACCAGTGAGTGACTACAGCCAAACAAAGTTTGCAGGTTCTTGCAGTTTCCAAGGAGGTCTTGATGCTTGCAAGGATTGGCTAAAATAAAAGAGAGAGAAACAAAGACGTGAAATATTAATTGAAAACCAAGTTTTGGTTTGATACTTCTGCATTTTCCAAAAAGATTTGAGTTTTTCTTGTCTGTATAATCTTTGTATTTTTGCTCTGCTGTTAAAATTGCTTGAATATTATAGAAAGGGAATGCAGGTGGAAAGGTGAGTATCAACCACCCCGTTGAGACTGGAAGGGACCTCTGGAGGTCATCTGGTCCAACTGGCCCCTGCTCAGTGTGATGCCTGTTCTGGTGGGATATTTAACCACTGTTGTTGCAAGGGGTGGGTAATGAAAGGAGCAGCTCTAGGATCTTTCATCCAGATTAGCAAGAAATAACTGCAAAAGTAAAATGCTACACAGGATCAACATCACTATCTGAGGTAATGCACTGTTTGTTTTGAGGAGGAGAATAGAGTCACTTACTGCAAAGTCCTTTGTCACAGTGGCCAGGACAGTCTGCACATTTTGGTCCACTTCTGTAAGGTGTAGCTATTTGCATTGCATTATTTCCTCTGAAATTTGAAAGAAATACAAGACATGAAAAGATTAACATGAAGATCTGGGCCATTAAGAGGAGTTATCACAGTGAAAGGCATCCAGAAGGTTTTGGATAAAAATATTTTCATAGGCAGTCATGTTTTAGTTTCAGATATTCATAGAATACAATAAACTTTAAAAAAGAGGGACAATAAGGCTTGGAGAAACAAAATTAATTGATTATTTGTATAGCATTATCCACAAAAAAATTAAGTGCTTTCTAACTCTGCTTTTCTAATGGCTTGCAAGTGTTTGGGGCTTATAAGGCAATCATAAAATCACAGAATCATAGAATTATTTGGGTTGGGAGAGACCTTAAAGATCACCTTGTTCCAACCCCCTGCCATGGGCAGGGACACCTTCCACTAGACCAGGTTACTTAATAACCTCAGCAGACCCTTTTTGACACCAGCTGCTTGAGATGGGCTATTTACCTCTAAATATTCTTTTGCTGCCGGCTTTCACTTTGCATCTGACTTTCTGCTTTGTGGTCCAAGTTATAGCATGGTTTGTACCTGATTCTGCCAGAGATACACCTTTGTTCATCTGCTGAAATTTCCCTAATAACTGTTTCAATGTGAAATAAAATAAATATTGCTATTTAACCTGCTGTTAAGCCCACAATTCACATTAGTATTTTTAAAACTATAAAAGGCTAAAGTAGACTGCAGTCATTTTATCCTACACGTGGCCAGTGGGGCACAGGGGGTTTTGGAAACATATCCATAATCCATAATTATCCATATCCGTAATGAGTAAGCAGGCAGTACGTACGCAGGGCAGTATTGGCAAACGTAAAAGTACTTGTAGGAGTTCGTAGGGCAGTAGGAAACTGCACATCCAACCTGGTAACTGTTGTACCAGATTAGCTGTAGAATAAAAAATAAGCACATTATTTCAGTCATCTTTATAGAATTCTCAACAAAAAGCTAATAAAATATCAGAAGGTACTTTTTTCTTCCATTTTTTTCTATTCAGCTTTTAAGTTAACAGTTTAGTAGTCAGAAAAAATACATAGAAAAATTAGTTTATCATCTCCAAATATTTTTGAACATATTTTCTGAAAGGAGACTTAAGTTTCAAGTCAAATACTTTCATCTTGGATATTTTGTTTTGACAATTCTTAATCAGGAATTTCATCCATATAGAGAAAATATTTATTTCTAAATTAAATGTATTTATTTAAATGTATTTTTAAATTAAAGGTATTTTTATATTAAAGATATTTCTAAATTAAAGGTATTTCTAAAGAATAGTGTTTCTCTTGTGGACAGCTCTTAAAAAATACTGGTTCCATTGCCTCATAATTAGATAGAAAAGAATTTTAATTTATCATTCATCTTTGCATCAGAACGTAAATGATAGATAATAGTTTGATGACACTAATAATTTTTTTTAATAATTATAAATAACTCCCAGCTGCCTTAACTGTACTGCTGTAATTTTAGTGTATCACTGCACTGTGTTTCCGTTTTCCTTACCTGAGTGTAGCTCTCGATGTTGACATTTTTGGAAGTTGCTCCATATCCATATTTGAAATTGGAGGACTGACTGGACCATGTTTGGATTGTTTCAGGCCATGTTCTTGGGTAAGATGATAGCAGCACATTCTCACCACAGGTGAGACCTGCAGTAGAAGTAAGTCTGGTTTATTCCTTAGGAGAGAAGCAAGCTGTGGGGTGGGAGGTGGGACAGAGGGGTTGGAGTTTTAGTCTAAAAAAAAAAGTCCAGGATGCCAATCTCTTTGTCCTGTGATTTTAAGAGGAGGACAGTCCACCTCATCCTCTGAAAGCTGCAGGGAATGTTACTCTGATTTTATGAGCTTTCAGGCACAGATACTTAGACCACAAAACTTTACACAAAAATGTCTGTACTTAGTCACACCAACAGTCATCTATGGCACTGTCTTGTTTCCAGTAGGAGACAAAAGTGGACACGTGAAAGGCACAAATATAGGGCAAGTACATACCCTCTCTCCAGTTCCAACAAATTGTCTTCAGGGTATTTATCTGACAAAGATGATGGTTTTGTGTTTAATAATCATAGAATCATAGAATGGTTTGAGTTGTGAGGGACCTAAAGATCATCTAGTTCCAGTCCCCCTGCCATATATAGGAACACCTTTTGCTAGACCGGGTCCTAAAAAGGTATTCTAATAATAATAGCTATTCCAATAATCCTAAAAAGCAGTTCTACAACAGATTAAAAGTTATCTTTATTTCTATTTCACATTCCCAGGGGTCATCTGCAAACATTAACCCATCAGCTCAGGTTCCACCCTTGTCACTACCATTAAGGGTTCTCTGCTCCCTTGGACTGATTCTCATCTGACACTTATTTGCCCACTTCTGAGCATTTTTGGCAGCTTTATCACTCCACACCTGAAAGACAGAAAGGAAGAAGTATCCAGGTTATAAATAGGTTAGTGCTGTCCATGAGAAATAAAAAAAAATGGGGAATGGCTTGGGTGTTGTGCACTGAATGTCCCCATGGTCCTCAACAGAAAGAGAAGGAGTTGTGGCAGTTTACATTCCTGGGGCACAGGAACCATATTTTTTCTACTCTTGAAGATTCCAGAGCAGGCAACTCTGCACAGTCGTATCAGACAGTCCTGATCTCCAGATGCTCCTGATTATTAGGATTTTTATAACGTACTGTTGCTTTCTGTCAGACTTGTGTCTGAGTGAACATTGCAGGGAGCAGCGCACTAAATAGTATAGAACTGATTTTCAGTCCAGGTACAGCTGAGATGGAGTAAGAGGCACCAGCTGGGCTTTGAACCTGGGGAATGTTTGCAAGTCTCACTGTGCAGGTTTAACCACAAAGCACCAACCAGCTCTTCTGCTCATGGGATAGGGATAATAAGGAATATTGGGAGTGAAAGGGATGGGAGAAATGATGGGCAAAGCAAACTCAGGTGAGGACAAACGGTTATGCAGATCTAGGTCTTTTATCTCCCCCCTGACAGTGTGTGATTCAGAAGCTGCTGCTCGGACTCCTGCTCCTCCTTTCCTTCACATGCTCTTTGCTTCATCCAGGGCATGTGTTTTGCTTTTTGGAATTATGGAATCATAGACAGTTTGGGTTGGAATGCACCTTGAAGGGTCATCTAGTCCAACCCCTCTGCAATGAACAGGGACATCTTCAACTAGACCTGGCTGCTCAGAACTCCATCCAACCTGTCCTTTAAAACTTCCAGGGATGGGGCAGCCACAGCTTCTCTTGGCAATCTCTGCCAGTGTTTCACCACCCTTATCATTAAAAATCTTCTTCCTATATCTAATCTAAATCAACCCTCTTTTAAATGAACACCATTAACCCTTGTGTTATTGCAAGAGGACCTGACAAAATGTTTTCCCCCATCTTTCTTATAGACCCACTTTAGGTATTGGAAGAGGCTCTAAGGTCTCCCCAGAGCATTCTCTTCTCCAGGCTGAACAGCTCCAATTTTCTGTCTGTCTGCACAGCAGAGCTGCTCCAGCCCTCTGATTCATTTTGTGGTCTCCCCTGGACTCACTCCAACAGTTCCATGTCCTTCTGATGGTGGGGACCCGAGAGCTGGAGACAGCTCTGCAGGTGGGGTCTCTCCTGATGGGGCAGAGGGGCAGAATCCCCTCCATTTCCCTTCTACCCACACTGCTGGGGAGGAGCCCAGGACACAGTTTGCTTTCTGGGCTGCATGTGGGCATTGCTGGCTCATGTTGAGTTTCTCATCCACCAACACCCCCAAGTCCTTCTTTTCAGGGCTGCTCTCAACCTCTTCATCCCTCAGCCTGCTTTGATACTGGGGTTTCTTTATCTTCTCTTTTAAGGGAAAAGCAGGCAAGTTGTAATGCATAGCTTACCATCTTCAACATATTCCTGGCCGTGGGAAATACTGATCTGCGTATTTCATTGTGTTGATCAAGGATCTCTTTTTGGTTTTTAGACTTAGAATGAGGAAAGGAGAAAATTTTCCCTGTTTTATATGGAAAACCCTGGAAAACAACAACAATGAAGGTCCCAGTTAAGAGAAGTTTAATAAACAAATAAATTATGAGCTTCTCCTCAATACAAAATTTCTTGGAAATTCTCAATGACCTTTTATTTGTTCTTCTATTATTACAATATTTTTTTCTTCCCTCCTTGATTTAAACTGCACTTTTCATTAGGAGATATGACCTTAAATGAGATTTGTAGATAGGAATGCAGCCTTCAGATTTCTCCACATCAAATATGGAGAAAGCTTAGCTCTGGAACCAAATCTCAAGGCTGGTTTAAACCTCTTGTGTGCACTGAAAAAAAGCCTCTAGCTCTTGTGTGTTGTAAGCTCTGGAAGTATGTGAAGCTGCATTAGAATTTAGGACTGTTTGCAGACCTTCAGAAGAACCTTAGGTCAACAAAGCAATGAATGACTTGGGTTGTCTCTTAAACAACATTGTCAGGGCATCAGTCCTTGCACAGAAAAGGAGCTGCAATGCTTACACTGGAGTTTTCAGGCTAAAACATCCCTCAGGAAAAGATTCTTCCTACTTAATATCTAAACCTGAGGCATCTCAGTCTAAGATAGACACCTTCACTGTCTTTGTCATTACTGGAAAGGGCACAGGAAGCTCAGTCCATAACATCTGCACTTCATTTTAGAAGTGGAAGAAGCATTTTCTTAAGTACCTCCTTCTCCATTAGTAGTGAGACTGACAGAGATCTGAACAACTAATACTTTGATGCTGAAGTCAGTGAGATGGGTTCTGCCATTGGTGCAAAGGTCTCTTTTCTAGGCACTGGTTCGTCTTATTTAATTCTAGATAGCCACAGAATAGATGTAAATATCCAAAAGTCATCTCAGTTTACCTTTATGGTCAATGAGAAAACATAAAATGAGACTAAATTTTGAAATGTCCAAATATTATGAATGAATCCCACTGCTTTTCCTTCACAGCTCAACTCTAGGTTTTAAAGAATGTAGATAGTGGCTTAAAATGGCATCTAATGCCATTTGAAGTGTCCAGAGAGCCCTAGATATGTGTAGCTCACTGTACAGCCACTTGTGAGTGTCTCAGGGACCCTGGAGAGTCTCAAGCTGCACTGAGACATGTTTGGGCAACTGAACGTACCCCAAGAAGAAGTGTAGTACGTCTTGTTTAATTTAAGACATTTGCAGTGGTAGAAATAACAACTCAACCACTTATTTTAGGCTGCTATACTCAGATAAAGGAAAGAAGCAACTTAGGACATATATCCCCTGAGATTTATAGAAGAAAGAGACTATTTGGTTCCCTGAAGTACTTATTTATTTTCATTCATTAATAAGATATTGATAAATAGCTCACATTTAAATTCCTACATAATAGATCTCTACATCTTACAAGGTTAATCCTCTCTAAGAGATTTAAAAATCATATTTCTGGTTCTTAGCTAAATTGTTTATTTATTTGTGGTAAATGTGTTTTTAAAATTAATCTCATGAAGGGAAGAATATTTTAATAGGCAGAATCACAGAATGGTTTGGATTGGAAGGTACCTTAAAGATTCAGTAACTCCAAACCCCCTGTCATGGACAGGAACATCTTCCACTAGACCAGGTTGCTCAACCAATACACAAATAACAAAAATAATAAAAATAATAATAACAATAATAATACAAAACCCCATGAAAAATAAGAGGTCATCTTTGCTATGTTATATTAACATGTTAACAATAATTTCACCTCTGAGCTGTAAACATCTGGAGATCACTAGACCAGACTGCACCAGGTCAGGTACCTACAAAATGGGCTCAGATATGGCTGTTTTGCAGATGAATATTCCTACCTGTCCATCACACTGGTGTAGCAGAGCAGCCAGGAAAATGATTGCAGTTAGTAGATCCATTTCTACAATGGGAAAAAAAAACCACAAAGAAAAACCCAAACTCCATTAATCTTTGTTCCATATAGTTCATGGCATAACGTGGTATGTGAGAAAGATGCAAAACTGTTGCAAAGTCAAGCCTGCACAAAGAAGTTTATAAGCTGAATATAAGCTGGATGTGCTGAAACTGTGCAAATGAGTGTATGATGGTGCATGGGCACCACTGTCTCCTACAGACAGATTCCACCTTGCATTGAAGCAGGGACTGTAAGTAGCATAAAAGTGTATGTTACTTGGATCAGTCCCCCTTTGAACTTCTTTATTCAAGATATCTTGAATTTGCAGCATTTCTTTCATCTTTGCTCCCTTGTATTAAAAAAAACCCCATTAATGCGTTCAGTGCTGTCACATCAGTGTCCTGCTCAAGCATCATCCATAGTGAGAACTGGTTTTTTGGAGTGGAGCACTAAACACATCAACAGTTGTCTCCATTTCTGTCCCTGTTCCCTGTTTCCTCATTAAATCAACCTCATAAGGGCTGATTTAATGGTGGTGATCACCCTCATGTTACATCTGACACTGAGACATATGATAATATTACCAAATAATGTTGGCTATTGCCCTCTGGCTCCTAAGACATCTTATAGAAGCAAATACCACAGATATACACAGACAGTCTGAAACTCACTTGTGTATATAGGATGTTTTTTCTACATATAAGAAGAAGTAAAAAATATATGTCTTTGTATTGATGAGGATATATGAGTTAATGCAAAGATGTGGCAAAACCCGAAGGAAGACTAACTCTGAACTCAAGAGGATCTAGGAAATCCTGCTTGATAGGGAAACTAACACTGCAAAATTCTTTCTTATATCTACTCTAAATTGACCCTCCTTTAGTTTAGAACCATTACGCCTTGTCCTATCATGTCATTCAGATATTCGGTCTTTAGCTTGTTTTCCCATGATTTCATAAGGAAATCACTTGCATGAGGTAGAGGCAGGGATCTCACTGATATTGATGAATAAATTCATAAACTGAAGGGGTATCTTTGGCCACTGGGTAGTTGTCTTACCTTTACATGCAGAAACAAAATCTCTCTGGGACTTCCCAGATAAGTGTTGCAACTGGAAACATAAAACATTTCTAGATCCAGAGTTAAACGGTTAAAATACTTCTGCACATCTTCGACTGCAACATCAAATCTGTCCCTTGGACTAAATGTGTTGGGCTTTACTTTCAAAGTCAAAAGATAGAGATTCCCAGATACAATTATCCTTCACTGTCAAGAGAGTTCAATCCACTAAATTATTTCTATCCTTCTGAAAAGACAAATGCCAGCAATGCACTTTGAGGTAGCTCTACGTGAAAACCTGAGGTTTCATGCAAATTTGATTCAGTGTAAAAAAAAAATAATACATAAATTGATAGCTACAAAGCTAGAAACCATGTTCTATTTTAAAAATGCAGTCATGTTTATTCTGGTGTTTCACTCCTCAGCAGAACCTTTCTCCTGCCAGCTAAATCAGCTTTCAGGGAAAACCAGGTTTGAAAGTATGGAAAAGGAGGAATATTTATCTTTTCAGAAACTTTGATAATTTTTTTCTTCTCTGAGTTTACACTATTTTCATTACAAAAAATTCACTCTGTATTAAGAAAAGACAATCAACTTATTGCATACTATAATATATATTAGACATTTTAGTAGCTTAAATAGTGAAAGCTTGGACAGATATTTAACATTTAGAGATGACACAATTCTGAGTTCAGCTGTACTGGTATATCCCAATATTCAGGTGAAATAAATTCAACATAAAAATAATCCAAAAGAAATTAGAAAAGCATTTCCCATTGTGGACCATGCTCTGCAAAAGGAATTTATTTATGTTCACAGTTGAAGAAAGAAGCAAGTGGATCTAAGTGGTATATTTTGATCTAAAGAAATATGGGAATTACACTCCACTGATGCCATTTCTCACCCCCACTGGTGGAGGGTGTGCTTTCAGAGCAGAAGATATTATTTATCTTACATTCTTCCTTTGAGATAATATAAGCATTTTCTTTTAATTATCACATTTGACAATGCTTGGATATTAACTCCATTAGCCTCCATAGCACAGTGCCCAACCAATACTGCCCGAGTGACTCTTGGGATAAAATCCTAAGACTGAAGTTAAATTTTGCATACTTTACCTTCAACCAAACAGAATCCTTCTGTGTCCAAGGAAGTGGCAGCAGAGCGAGAGGCTCTCCTCAGTCCAGGGCTCTCACTATATATACATGTTCCCTTTTTTTTTCCTCGTCAATATTTATTGCTGATAAATGACATCAGCTTTGGGACTGCCCATTGTGGAAGAAGGAACTTTTCTTAAGAAACAGGTGCCTGAAAATTAACCAATCCAGCTCCATTGTTCTGGATTCCTTTTGCTTGTCTCCAGGGCGAGGACAAAGAGAAGATAAAAGACCTGTCCTTTTGCAGCAGTTTGACTCTGATTGGGCCAAAATGCTTCTAGTCTGCTTAGCAAGCTACAGTGCTAATGTGCTCACAAAGTAAAAGCTTGAGGTTAGGGCTGGTTGCTTTGCAATTGTCTTTTCTGACTCTGGCAAAAGAGTGGGATAAATATTTTGAGGGAGAGACGTAAGTCAGCAACTTTGCCACGTGCAGAATGCCCAATGTTGCACAATGGGCAACACAGTGGTATTTTCTTCCAAGTGGTTCCTGAACTTCCATTTGCTGAATAAAGTTTGTATTCCATTAGCTCACTAAGGATGTGGCACTAGGCGTCTCTTTTTACAAGGGCATGCAATGATAGGACAAATAGGAATGGCTTTAAACTGAAAGGCGGCAGGTTTAGATCAGATATTAAGAAGAAATTCTTTATAAGTGCATGGTGAGACATTGGAACAGGTTTCCCAGTGAAGCTGTGGTTGCCCCATCCCTGGAAGTTGAGGCAGGTTGGAGGGGGTTTGGAGCAACCTGGTCTAGTGGAAGGTGTCCCTGCCCATGGAAGGGTGGTTGGAACTGGATGGTGTTTAAAGTTCCTTCCAAGCCAAACTATTCTGTGGTTCTGTGATTACTGTACACATAACTCACTCCATGTGTTGTTTAAGAGTAACCTACTTGCAGAATGACTGCAAGTGTTACATCTTCCTTCTTTGAAGGGTATGTGTTTTGCTCTAATGAGGCATAGAATGATTTGAATTGGAAAGGAACCTAAAAATCTTCTAGTTTCAACCCCCTGCCATGAGCAGGAACACCTTCCACTAGACCAGGTTGTTCAGAGTCCTGTCCAACCTGGCATCACTCAGCTCACCTTTCCTATTTGCAGACTCTTTGCTTTCACTCGCTTGTAAGGTAATATCACAAAGGCAGCTTTGACAGGTCCTTACTGCACAAACACAACCTGTCTTGCTTCTTTCCACGGTGTCTGTTGGCTTTCAGAAGGCAAAAGAAGCAGCACATCTCCCCTGTCCTTTCTTGAGTTCCCTTCCTCGTCCTTGCCTTTGCTGTGGTGTGTTGCACTGAGCACCCTTTTCACCATGCTGGGTTGAGGTTTCTGCCCACACTGTAACTCAATATTGTTTCATTGTCTCCAGATTTCTGCAGCTATGTGCTGTTGCCAGCTTTTTAATCTTGAATTATAATCCCTGTGTTGGAAAACACACCTCCCCTTGTTCTTTGTTTGTGTAGCGGGCAGCACTGATGGGAAGTCACTTGTGATAAGGTCTCCCACATCCTTCCATGTTTTGAGATAAGGGAAAAGGTGCTTTTTTGTCTGAAGTGCTTGGGACAATTTTGATGAGACCAAGGTTATCACCATGAGAAAGCCTAATAAACCACCTACCATGATTATTAAGATTGGATTTTTCTTGACTGTGAGGGGAGACAGTCTAGGATCTCCATTTTCTCAGTGTCCTGGGAGATACTTCCATTATTTTACCCCATCCACTGTACACAGAAATTTTCATTAATTATATACAGTCACCTGAGCTTTATTTGTACAGTTCAAATGAAATTATACTACTCAAAGTATTTCTTTGAAACATGCCACACCTGTTTAAATACTTAAACCCATTTGTTCCATAAAGAATTATTGTCAGATATGCTACAATTCATGGTCCATGAGTAAAATACTTGGGAAGTAAAAAAAAGATTAACAAAACTGACATCCGGAACCATGGTACAAAGAACAATTTAGTATAGCAATTTCCACTTCCCCATGTGGATTACCTGAAGGGATGGAACAATTCAATAAAAAAAAATAAATTAAGAATCAATTCCACAGAGTTCTGCAAATATATGCAAATTTTTAAAGATAAATCTATGGAAAGTTCTTAAAAAAATTCAACTTGAGATATTTGACTGTAAGTTCTTCTTCCAACACTTGTGTAAACCTGAGCTGCAAAAATGTGATTTAATCTCAAACAAGGAAGACAAAAATCCAGTTTCTTCAACTCTTTATTTCCAGTGAAGTTAATGACAGCTCAGGTAATGCTTTACATTAAAATCCATGCAGTTCTGTGTGGTTCAGAGCTTGTATAAATCTTTTTCTTAGCTATGCAAAACGCCTTGCAGGCTTAACCTTGTTTGGCAAAAAGGAACATTATTGATTTTTAACATGTGACCCAACTCACCTTCCTCTCCATATTATTATTATTAAGGAAACAACTAACAGAGTAATCAATCAATCAATCAATCAATCAGTTGCTATCAGAGGGGTAGATGCCTCACCAAAAGATCTCTCCCAGGCAAAGGCAAGGCACGTAAATGCCAAAAGTATCTTTGAAGGCATTGGACTACCAGGGCTGAGGTGTTGGGCACAGATGACCTGCAAATTGGAAACTGTGACTGCAGCACCATTCTAATTCTGCACCATTAGTTTTGAACTGGAGGAGGTGTGTGTTCAGCCAGGATGAAAAGCAGGTAGATAAAATCTGTGCTTCTCAGAAAAACACAGCATTCCATGTCTGCCTTTGGTCTTCAGAGAGCCAAGCTACTCACCATGGCTCTTCTCAAACA